TTTATTTTTATATTTTGTAGAGAGGAGGTCTTGCTATATTGCCCAGGCTGGTCTTGAACTCCTGGCCTCAAGTGTTCCTCCCTGCTTTGGCCTCCCAAAGTGCTGGGATTACAGGCGAGAGCCACTGCACCCAGCCCTAGCCTGGGCTTTTAGTGTAGCCATCACCCAAATAGTGTACATTGTACCCATTCAGTAATTTCTTATCCCTCAAGCCCCTCCCACCCTTCCAAGTCTCCAATATCTATTACTCTATTCTCAGATCTGGCTTTTTAATCAGCCCACTGCAGGGTTCTGGTACAGGGGGTTGGGGAATCATTTTTTGAGAAACATAGATAGAGAGAAGGTCCTGCTACAATGAGAAGGAGTAGGTGTCAACGTTGATTTTAATTCAGAAAGAAATGGTGAATCATGCCTAGGTCCAATTCCTAAATTCTGAGTCTCTGGGAATCTACAGGTTTTCTTGGGGCTTTAACTTTTCAAACCTTCCTTAGTGAATTGATTTGGTCGATTTCTCTGGTTTGCATTCTGGAAGACTCAAGATGTACTGAGGCAGAATGGAGGGAGGGTCCCCAAGCGCCCCTTGGATGTTCCCCCTCCCCCTTATCCTCCCCCACCCAGAACAGGTTCCTCTCTCTTGCTCAGTGACATGCCTGCAAAGCCTAGGACAACGTAGGAGTTCAGAGAAGGTGCACAGTAAATAGTTGTGGAATAAACAGATGCTGTGGGGGAGAAGGGTTTGGATTCTGGATGATGGGAGAGGCCTGGCTGTGGAATGATCTCCTTTCCCAGGAAACCAGCCAGAACTGCAAGTTACTTTCCAGTTGACAGCCAGTTGCTGGTAGAGTTGGGGCTCTGGCGGATGTGGGGGTGGGGTGGAGCGCCTATGGGGAGGATGCTTCTAACCACCTTCTTCCTGCAGCTCGAGATAAAGAATCATGTATTCTTCAGCCCCATAAACTGGGATGACTTGTACCACAAGAGGCTAACTCCCCCCTTCAACCCAAATGTGGTAAGAGGTCCCCGCATTCTAGATTCTGGGTGTCCAGGACTGGTGGGAACTTGGTACATGGGCCAGCTTTCTTCACGCAGATGGGAAAACTGGGGGGCCAAGAGGCTCATGGATTTGTGCAAGGCCACACAGTAAGTCTGAGGCATAAGTGGCTCTAGCCCCCAGAAGTCCTGGTTGCCAGCTCAGCTGTTGGGTAATGTCTGCTGCCCTTGATCTTTAGCACCAGTAACCCTCACCGCAGGGTGTTTCATGGTTTTTAAAGTGCTGTGTCATTAGCATACCTGGACAGAGCCAAGCCCTACAGAGATGTTTTATCTTTTTCTATTTTTAGACTTTTTCCTGATAACAAAAATAATATGTATTCCTTGTAGAAAGTATGTAAAGCAGAGAAGTTTAAAGCAATATCAGGAAAATGTTTATTATCTTACTACCCAAGAGAAATCACTGGCGTATTTCCTTCCAGTCTTTTTTCTATGTGTGTCTTTTTTTTTTTCCACATACTTGGTCATACTTTATAATACCTATCTCTATATGTGTGTGTGTGTGCGTATGTGTGTGTATCTTCCCCCCCTCATTTTAAAATTATTTATTTATTTATTTGAATGACTGGGTCTCACTCTGTCACCCAGGCTGGAGTGCAATGGCACGTTCATAGTTCACTGCAGCCTTGAACTCAGGGGCTCAAGGGAGCCTCATGCCTCAGCCTCCCAAGTAGCTGGGACTATAGGTATGCGCTACCGTGTCTGGCTTCCCGGTTTTTTTTGGCTAAAAACGGTTATCATTTTCATATGTTATATAAAACTTTATAAATACAATTTTTAGTGGCTGTATAATATTTCAATCTTATGTTGGTAACATAATTTATTCAACCATGCTCCTAATTGTGAACTTTGGGTTGTTACCATTTTTTTCCATCGTAATATGCTGATGAAAATCTTTAAGTATATATCTTTGCCCAGAGTTCCGGTCATTTCCTTAAGATGGATTCCAGGTGGGGAATTGCCAGGTCAGAGAATGTGAACGTTTTTAGGTTCTCGAGTCGTACTGCCTGTGCACTGTGCAGAAGGGAAAACAATCTGTTTTCTACCAGCGGCGCCTGCTGGAGAGCTCCCATCTTACCTGCCCTTTGCAGCATCATGTGTTGTTGTTATTGTTTTTTGTTTTGCAAATTTGGTAAGGGAAAAATGGCATCTCATTGTTTTCATTTATATTTCTTCGATTTATGGTGAAGGTGGTTAGTTTTTGAACATTAATTAGCAGCAGCAGTGTGAACGAAAGGAGCCCCATTTGAGGCGGACGTGTGAGGTTGTCTCGGCCACCTGTCAGGTGCGGTGTCTCGTGGCGTCCAGGCCCTCCACCCAAGCAGTCTGCACACCAAACACTGCCAGTGTGAATTCACTATTTACACTTTTGTAAAAGCCAGGTGTTCATAATGTTCATGAACATTTACCTGTTCATGAACGTATCTTTGAGCACCAGATTTGTGACAACAGTTGTCAGATAGGATAACTCAGTCCAGGCACCTGAAAAGTTTCTTTTTCTTGGGATTTTAAAAAGATAGTGAAGAGAATGTCAAACATACACCCTGGAGAGAGAACGACACACAGAATACCAGGCAGGGACACAGTACAATGCAGCAGCGCACGGATCTCAGAGTGAGACATGCTGGGGTGGATTCCTGGTGCTGCCACCTACTGCTTGGGAGACTTTAAGTAAGTTTCTTTAGCATCATTTTTTCATTTGTAAAAAAACAACAAATACCTGCCTTGTCTAGGGCCACAAAACTAACAAGATCAAGGGCCAGAGCCAAGATTCACAATCTGGGCTTAGAACCGTGAGCCTCTGGCTGGGACCACCGCGCCCTGTGGCCTTTTTGAGAAACTGGAAACCGTGGTATGTTTGGTTCCACAGCCCAGGATGAAAGCATATTTGCAGACCCTTCCGCTGGGTCACCTACTGACGTCATAAAACCTAGGTGGCATAATCTCCATAGCCTGTGCCTCCTCCAGAGAGAGACTGTATCAATTGGCTCTTGCTATGTAACAAGCCGCCTCAAAACTAAGGGGCTTAAAACAACAGTCGTTTATTTTGTTCAGATTCTCTGTGGTGTTTTTAGTCCGGGCCAGGCCAGCTGGTCTCCACAGAGCTCTCTCGTGCCTGTAGCCAGCTAGCGGGACAGTGGCTGCTGATCATCTAGAATTGCCTCACTCTTGTGTCTGGGAATTGGCAGGCAGCCAGGGCAACCGAGTTCTCCTTCATGAGGCCTCTCACACTGCAGCAGGCTAGTCTGGCCTTGTTCACGTGGTGGCCTCAGAGTTCCAAGTATGGCAAAAGAGAACCACTCCCAATGTGCATTTTTCAGGCCTCTGCTTGCATCATATTTGGGAATGTCCCATTGACCTACGCAAGTCACATGGCTAACCAATAGTGAAGGGATGGAGAAACAGACTCCACCTCTGGATGGAAAATGGAAAATCTGTAATCATTTTTGCAATCTCCCACACAGGTCTTCCTCCAAAGCTGCCCTGGGCACTCCCTACCACATTGCCCTATGTTATCTTCTTCATAGGACCTAGCAACACCCTAAATTATCTATCTGTATACATGCTTATTATCAATACCAATCCTCCTATCCCCTTCATAATGTAAGCTTCACGAAAGCAGGGAGTACCATGAACAGTGCCTGGCAGGCATTCAGTAGGTATATGTTGTTGACTGGCTGACTTGTCTAAAGATTGGTGTGGAGTAAGCAGGATGCCAGGACTCAACCACGTGGAATAGAATGATTAATGTAAATGCACGGGAAAGTGACAACTAAGTATGGGTGACTAGGAGGCACTTGGAGGAGAGGCCTGACCTCCCCCTCTGAGGCTGTGTGCTCTTTTGGGAGCTCAGACCCCAGTGTTCCCTTCTCATCATTGGTTTCTATTGACAGGCAGGACCTGCTGACTTGAAAAACTTTGACCCAGAGTTCACCCAGGAAGCTGTGTCCAAGTCCATTGGCTGCACTCCTGACACTGTGGCCAGCAGCTCTGGGGCCTCAAGTGCATTTCTGGGATTTTCTTATGCACAGGGGGATGATGACCTCTTGGATTGCTAGAAGAGGAGCACCTGTGAAACCACTGAGACCAGCTGGTATTAGTACGGAATTACCTTCAGCTACTAGGAACAGAGATGCAAAGTAACAATGACTTGGATGAGAAACAAGTTTATTTTTTTCCCATCACATAAAAGAATAGTGTTAGGCAGTCCAGGGCTAGTGTGACAGGTCATCAGACACTCAGAGGCAATGGCTTCCAATATCAGGGTTGCTACATTATCACAAAATGGTTACTGGAGCTCTAGCCACCAATTTTGTGTTCTGGGCAGGGAAAAAGGAGGAAGGGAAGAGAGCAAAATGGTACTTTGAAAAGCTATCCCAGAGCCCCACCAATGACTTCTGCTTACATCTTACTAACCACACACCCTTGCCTGGATTGGAGGCTGGGCTGCGTGGCTCATTAGCTGGGCACATGACTACCCAGCTGACACTAAGAGAGAAACGGAGAATGTTGGATAGGCAACCAAGCACTCCTTACCAGAAGGGCTCCTAGTGTTTGGATTTTGATCTCAATGTGTAAAATGACAGAGATGTAACAAGCTTATAGGGTGTCAGCCAACATCTCCATATTGATGGTGTCTTTCTTTGCTGTGGGTAGTACTGGACATTTGTTTTGGGTTGTTTGCCTGGTATCTGAACCCCTTCCTATATTCAGGGAGTACCCTACTTTATAAGCCTTCATGAAGGGCAATAACTACCTCCACGTAGAGTAGCTAAAAATGCTAGATACTGACTTTCCCAGCCTCCCCTGACCTAGGGCCAGGCATGTGGCCCAGGGATGCATCTGTGCCACTTTTGATTCAGGGAAGGGACTAGGAGCTCTCTTTCATGTGTTAATTGTGGTGAGTACCCACAAAACTGAGTTTCTGGTATAAAAATAGCAACAATGCAAATTGTAGCAATTGGTACTTAGCTTCAGCAACAGCAGCAGTTTCCTCATCAGACCAGCACTGCAGTGTCATTCCTGGAAGCCTCAAATCTCATTCTCTAGCTGTCCCAATGATGTCAAGAGCATTTGATGCCTTTAACACATTCCTTTTTTGCTTAATTGGCCAAAATCAGTATTAGATCGCCTGCCTAAGCTTCGCCAGTTTCTGTGCTAGACTTTTTAATGCCTGTTACCAATTTTCATCCAAACAACCCTAAGATAGAATTATTACTATCTCCTTTTTACCAATAAAGAAGCAGGATCAGAGAAGTTGTTCCTTGCCTGAAGATCACATAGCTAATAAGGGCCAGAGATGCGACTTGGAGCCATATTTGACTCTCACATTGAACTTTTGTGCCGATCTGCCCCTCACTCTGAGTGGTAGGTCCAAGCAGAATGACTGTCAAAATCTCTAATGAAAGCCAAATCAAGAATTAGTCGGACCAAGCGAGGTGTGAGAAATGGGGTCTTGAAGAGGAGCCATTCAAGTGAATGCTATTCATGGTCTGAGCCTGGCTGCCAAGTTCATGCTGTGCTGCACCTCGCATGGGGAGCTCAGGCCTTGGACAGAGCTGGAGACTGCTGCAGACTTGGTGACCAGAGCTTCCTGGCCACCCATGGAGCTCCATACGTTCAAGATTAGTCGTTTCTAAAGGTAATTCTGATTGGACAGAACGTGAGCATATAACACCTCATGAATTCAGGACACCCTGCACTTGTGGGATGGATCATACTTCCTTACTTCAGTGGTTTTTCACAAACCTGTGGTTCCTACTTCAGGGTGGCCTTATTAGCTTTTTGGTTTGGGGACAAGAGGAAGAACTTTCTTAGGATTAGTGTGTGCTGGTGATTTTATTGCCTTTTCCTCTTAACTCAGTCCCACTCTTTCCCTTCCATTTTTGTCCACCTAGTCCCCTGCCCAAGCAATTATGGGGGACAAATCTGGGAGACCATGGAAAAAACACCAGTGACACTGACCTATTGGAGATCAAAGCTGGGTCAGGAAGAATTAATATTAAGCTTTGACATGTGCTGAGAACTCTGAAACACTCTGATTTCCATCTTAATAGCACTTGTCAATTGACAAATGTAGAATAAGGTGAGCGAGAGGTCAAAATCCCCCCAACTTCCCAAAGCAAAAATCAAAAGTGTAATTGTCGGACACATGCTAGTACTGTCAAAAGTACACAATCAGCTATGGGTTGTGAAACATGTAATGGTTTTATCTATTCTAAGGTGTAAAATCACAAATTTTTCACCAGGATAAAAAATAAAAATGAAAAACTAGGCTATTGAATTGATCGTGCTATACCTATGTTTACTGAGCACATTCCGAGTTTTATATGCATCATCTACAATACTCACTGTAAGCCAGCACTTAGAAATTATTAACCTCACTTTGCAGATAGGAAACATTGGTTCAGAGAGATTAAGCAATTTGCCCAAGGTCACCCAATTGGTGAGGAACTGGGCATATCCAGGAACTGAACTTGACACAGCTGACCTTGGTGGAGGTGAATGTGGTGACAGCCGATTATAAAACTCATGCTCTTCTACAACCTCCAACAGTGGGAGAAGTGCTGTGGGCAGATGCTTTAGCAAATACTAATTGCACAACAGGCAGAAAGTCCCCAAGACTTGTCCCAATCCTCAAGTGGAACAGCCTAGTCTCTCTCCAGTGGGAATACATCCTTCCATTTTTACCCTAAATACAGACTGTATCCACCCAATTTTGCACCAAAATACAGCATCCCCCAAAAGAGAATTCTCAATCACCCTCTTCTCCACTGTTTTGAATTTGCAGGGACAGTATTGTGAAAAGGCAACACCAATTGTGTGTGTACTTTAATATCCCAAACTCCTACTACTCTGTACTCTTTGAAGACAAACATAAATGTAAATCAAAACTGTCAGAAGTCTCGGCACTCATCGGTTTGTCTTCCAGGTTGCTGCAGCGTCGTACCCGAATCCACAATCTTCAGGCAGGCACAGAGCTCTCCCCTGGGGAGCAGGGTGGTCTGTTCTGGTTGCAGGCATCTGAGTTTCCATTTTGAAGGCGATGGCAGGGCAACCTGTATGTGGTGAAGGCTCTTTTGCACAAGCAGTTCCTTCTGATAGGAACGCCCTTGCCTTAACGGATACTTTTCTTTCAGATCTCTGCTCAACGGGAGCTCCTTTTTGACCAGCTCGAGCCCCTCACAACTCCGTAATACAGTTTATAGTTTTACATTTTTGTAGGATCTGGCTAGCCAACATCTAACTCCCCGCCTGAAGATGTCTAGAGGGCGGCGGGTTCACCGCCACGTTCCCCGGTGCTCAGGCCTGGCACTGAGGCCAGGCTCGAAGATGCGGGGTTAATAAAAGGGAAAGAACTGTCTCCTGTTACCATCCTCGCCATTAAACCTGCTCCCGCTCTCCCGGGAGGTCTTCCCTGGCCTCCCAGTCGGCTCACACCAGGAGTCCGCCCCCAGGAATGTGTTGCTACTAGCCCGAGACCTGACAGTTCCCAATGGTGCGACCCGGTCCGACCCCGCTGCTCTGCGCCTGCGCCCTGGGGACCAAGGCTGGAAACCCTCACTGTTCTCCTCCATCAGGGTGGAGTGAAGCTTGGACCCTTGGTGTCTACCGTTGTTATCAGCCTTCAATAATAATTGATATTAAGGAACAAAATTAAGTGGGCTTATTTTTGCGGAAAAGTTCGTTCTCGTTGTGTTTGGATTTACCCCTCATCCAAAGTAATGGTACAGTCCCGCATTAGGCCCGCCCCCTACCCATCGCTCCTTCCGCTCTGTCGTCATCACGTCACTCCGGAGGTAGCGCCTAGTCTGGGGCCACGCCTTGCCAGCGCGCCGGACTCCGCGGTTGCTAGGCCGCCTTGGATACCTGGCGGCTGGATGCTGGACGGCGTCAGGTGATGATGGTGGTCACTGGGCCTCAGGTAAGAAGGGCTCCAACCGATGGGCCGGCAGGGGAGTTTGGGCAGCCTGGGAGCTGGTGAGGGCCTCGCCCACACTCATCGAGGCCGCGGAGCCAGTCTTCTGGAAAATCCTAGGGCCACAGGGGTAAAGCAAATTAGGGGCGCGGTGTAGGCCGGGATCCCGGCCCTCTGGCTGGGCTCCAGTCTCTATCGCTTCGGACTGCATGAGTTTTTAGTTGTCCTGCTGAGTATGAAAGAGCACTGGATGAGGAATCGAGGAATCGTAAGGTCGTAGTCTCTGTTCCGTCACTGCTGCGACCCTTGGTCCTTCCATCGCTCATCTGGGAAAATACTGATTTGACTGGTAATAGAATTGAAGAGAAATCGAGAGAATGGATAGACAGCACCACCTAAATATTGGTTATTTTTATTGTTTTTAACTTCTTTCCTATCCTTAAGGAAACTGATTTCTGAGTAATTCTGACAGTACAGGAACCCAGGTCTGCTGTTCACACAAGGGGCTGAGCTACAATAAGCTGTTGACTGGTAATGTAGCGTTCCTTACGCTTTCCCTTGAAGAGCCATAAAATGACAAAAGGAGTTCCTCTCCTTTTCCTGGGAATCCTGCTGCTACGAATCTGTCCTTTGGCAAAAATAATTAGTGGCAAAGTAGAAATATGTAAATTTCAGTACTATGTGTGATGGAAGAAAGTTGAAAAGATGCCCATGAAGACAGTGGGTGAGTTCGTTATGGCATAACCATGCAATAAATCACACAACCACTAACCTAAATCATGAAGACTTTTAGGAAACTGGAGAAAGCAGAATACAATATTGTATGTACACAATGGGAAAACAAGTATGCACGTGGATGGAATACAACATAAGAAGATAGCTGTGTCAAGTGATGGGATCATGGGGATTTTTTTTTCGACCAGACAAAATGATTTTTAAAGTTCATAAAAAAAGATAAATATGTGAAAGTAGCCAGGAAAATTCTAAAAATTAAAGGTAATAAGGGGAATTAGCTCTCCAGCATCATTATATTATAACATAAAAGTATAGCAGTTAAATTAGTATGGAACTGAGCAAAAACTTACAGAGAGATAGAACATGATAGAAATCAGAATAAAACCAAGGGATTTATATATAGTCAAGGTGGTGCTATATTTCCAATCAGCCTTGAAAAGTTGGCTTGGTGTTGGGCAGCTTTCTAGTAATTTAGAAAATACCAAAGCCCATTTTAGCACCAAAATCCATTCCAAGTGGACCAAAATTTAAATGTTAAAAAATTACATTGTGAAAGTACTGGAAGAAAGCATTGTTGGGTATATTTATAATATTAGCATGACAAAAGCTCTTCTTAATGTGTCATGCAATCCAGAAGCCCAGAAGAGATTAATACTTTTGACTCTATAAAATTTGTAATCTATATGGCCTGCAAAATTCAACCAAACCAAACCAAAAAAGCTACCAGAAGCCAAGTCTTGAGACAAATAAACTCATGAAAATGTTTGTTTAATGATGAATTAGAAAAATATGAAACTTAATAGAAAAATGAGTCCACGAGCAAGAAAATCAGAAGAAATTCAATGCTAAATCTCACTAATTTCAGAGGGCAAATTAAAACAATAATGAGGATTTTTTAAACATATTTTATTGGCAAAGATGAGAAAGATTAGAAATAGATAGGACTGTGTGGAAACAAATGTATTAGTGTTGGTGGATGTATAAATTAGTACAATTGTTTTGGCGGCCAATTTGGAAATGCTTTACTCAACCATTCAACAGGTAGGAATTTATTCTACAAATATGCGAAGTGCACAGAAGCATCATGTTCAACAATGATGTTTTTAGCATTGTTTTACTAGCAAAAAATATGAAAAAAGATATTAATCAGTATATGACTGGTTAAATTATGGTACATGCATAAAATGAAATACTGTGTAGCTGTTTAAAAGAATGTGGTAGATCCATATGTATTGACATGGAACGATATCAAATATACAAGATTAGGTGAAAAAATGTGTTGCAGAATAGTGCATATAGTAAGATCCTATTTCATAAAACTGTAAGTTAATATATATAAAAAGAATATGGAATCTCAGCAATAATTAGCAGTGAGGAATCAGGTTGGAAACGTGGTCTTGGGGCACGAGAGTGGAGTGATTGTGGGGCAGGGCCTTGGGTGTAGGGTGGTGGGAGGGCCAGGGCAAAAGACTGAAAGCAAAAGCTGAGGGTGGGCAGGGTTTTGTTTGGCCTTAGGTTTCTGCAGCTGTGATTTTGCATTTTACTCTTAGCCTTGGAGAATTGTAGGGGTTTCATTGATAGGCTGCAGTTGTATACCCTTTCTTGATAAATTAGAAGTGGAAGGTAACTATTTATTCCTTTTGGAGTCTTTCTTTGGAAATATTCTTTATTGTTTTTCTGATCTCATCTTTCTTCCATAAGGTAACCATGGAGAAAGAGCTTCGGAGCACCATTCTATTTAATGCATACAAAAAGGAGCTATTTACCACAAATAATGGCTATAAATCTATGCAGAAAAAACTTCGGAGTAATTGGAAGATTCAGAGGTGACTATGACCATGTTTATTGTTTTCCCTTCTAAGTGATAACAAATAGCCCACTGATAAAACGGAAAAATCTTTATTTTATTATGTAACATAGATTGTTTAGGTGGGAAGAGCTCAATTTAAAGATTGTTTAGAATTAAATAAATAATTATTAAAACATCTCTTTCGAAATAGGTAATCAGCATATTACTAAGTTGTCCTCCAAAGTACAAACCAAAAACTTATTCTAATTATACACATATAATTTTTTAAGATCTTAGAGGCTTTCTCCATATTTTATAACTTGGGTCAATACTTCAGGAAAATGAAAAATGAGAATATCTCTGTCTTTATGTATATGTGCATGTATTTTTTTTTTAATGGATGAGGATATGTAATTATATAAGCTAATGGTAGAGCTGATTGAATTAGTAGTTTAGGACTTCTTTATGCTTTAGCCTGGTTTAATTTGAACACCTCAGCTTACTGCAAGTATTTGAACAGAGGCCAGATAACTCTGTGAGGCAGGCCTGTAGAGGGGATTTTCACTTTGGGAGAGAGGCAGGACCAGGTACCTGCAAATCCCTTCCTCTCTTGACTGCTGTGGCCTCTGGTTCCATACAGTAGAGAGGCTAAAATAATTCATAAATTGGTTTGACTTATGGATCTAACATTTGCTTTTAAAATCATATTTCTAGCTTAAAAGACGAAATCACATCTGAGAAGCTAGTTGGGGTGAAACTGTGGATTACAGCTGGGCCAAGGGAAAAATTTACTGCAGCTGA